TCCAATCCTTGTTCTTCACCAGCAGCTCCCTGGTGAGCACTTTGGGCAACTTGTTTGTTATTTCTACCTCTACCTATTTTGGGTCTCTTGTTATCCCTTGTTGCAGTCAGGTGAAGGGCAGCATGTTGAATCCAAATTATAAACAACAATAAGATGGACACCTTCTGATTAACATCTCATGCACAACACGTGCCAGTATAAATTGCAAAAACGACAATAAGATGGACACCTCCCAAATCTGAATTTCCAAAACAGCATAAAGATGGACACCTTCTGATCATCATCTCATGCTCAATCAGGGCCAAAGCTAAATTGCAAAAACAACAATAAGATGACCTTCTTCTGATCATCATCTCATGCATAAATTGCCTTCCAATCGTTGTGAGAAATAGTTTCAACACAATGTACTACAGTAACACAAAACAGTACACAAAGTAATCCTGCTATTATCATCACACAAATCCACCATTGATCAAAGCAATCACTACTTTTACTTCTTAGCCACTAGTTGTCCTTGATGGCAAGGATGGTTGGAGCAAAAAGCAGAATCAAGAAGAGACATTCACTGGAAAAGTTGTATCACAATCCATTAACTGTTGAGCAGCTTGTAATGTAATTCTACTGGATCTACATAAAGACAGGGGAGGTTGAGATAACAAGAGAACTGTTTCTACAGAGCACTGGCGACATTACAAAGTGACACATGAGCATTGGAAATCAGCTCCTATATTCTATGAACCATGTGGCAAAAAAATCAATGATGATGGTGCCTGTGACACTGCTGARAAGGCTCAGCGCAACAAAGAGGGTGGGAAGAAGGAGCAGCAGTGCAAAGAGGATGCTGATACTAAGCTTCTTGCTGTAGCAAAAAAGAAGAAAAAGAAACAGCCAAAGAGAATTAGCAAAAAGAACAATGGTTTATCAGCTGTTGTACTGACTGCTGTTCCTCATAATTCCTGTTAACAATATGGAACAACGACTCACAAAATTTCCTCCTCACAACTCAGGTCAAATACTTGTCTCTCAGCAGAAAGGAGATACTGACATTGATTGACTGCAAGAAGAACAGCAAGGGACTCCTTTGCTTACAAGTTGCATGTCCATGGATGAACAATTTGGATCAACTGGAGAGCTTGATCCAGTGGCAACACTGACAAGGGGTGTCATAGAATTGCAGTCAGAGATTTCAAAGTTCTTGTCAAATTGACAACAGCAACAAAACACCAGCAGTGAAAATTAGAGCGTAGAACCATGTATATAACAATACACCAAACCAATACTTTTTTGTACCTCTGTACCTCAAGAGCAGCACAAGCCAGAACAGGAGAGGGGATAGAGGTGTTAGTTGTTTTGATGGAAACTGTTTCAATGTAGGTGTTTGTTTGCTAAGGTGACAAATCTACACCTGCAGTGGTGGTGTAACAGGTTTCTATCCTACAGAAAATCTATGCTATWTTGTGGAGGCTTCTTCTTTCTTGCACTACAAGTATCAGATGCTGTAGTTGATATGAGCTAGACCCCCTTCTTGCTCAAGCTTCAGCTGAGTGACTACTGCAGCAGCTGCAAAGTACATTCTGTGATTTCCTATCATTGTGTCACTGTCTCTGCCTTCAGTGTGATGGAAAGAGGAATCAAGCACATTGAATATCTTGATTCTCTCATTCACATTTTCATGGCATCCCCTGATGATTTATTTCTTTTGCATTGCTTGGTGTTTATCCCCTGATTTGGTGTCTGTACTTTAAGTGTTCTTCCCTTCAGTCCACTATCAGCTTCAACCATTTCCCAGTCCTYAAGCCTTGATGTAAGCTCCTCACTGTCAAAGATTTTCTTCTCTGAAGTGCCTGCAGGAAAGGGGCCATTAATCCAGACAATGCAACTTGTTGCAATACATATTCCAACTTCATAGTAGTGAATAGCTGCATCATTGAACTTTTCTGAATACATGTCAGTGCTGAATGGATATGGTTTGTAGCATGGGCAATCTGTCCAATTGAAAGACATCATGAAATATTTCCTTGGCAGATAGTAAAAAAAATCTTAATATTATATTATATTTAACCTCGTGAACTAGAAGAGGGACTATATTTCCAGAACCAGAGCCCCTCCAGCCTAGGGAGAAGAATGCTCCTAGCTACACCAAGGGGCAGCACCTCCCTCTGAGGAGGTTTTGTAGAGGCACAACCAAGTTCTATGCACACTGACAGACCAATGAAGGCCCAAGGCTGGATTTAGAGGACATAAAAGCAATTGAGTCACAGTTTGAATGGATGAGAACMATGCCATTATCATTTCAAAGGGCACTGCCAAGCCCGAAGGCAAGTCACCACATGCAGTGATCAAGGAAATGTCTGCCAAGCACACTGCCAAGCCAATTAAGGCAAGGGCTACCCAGTGGGCAAGGACACATGTAGTGGAGTAGTCAAAAATATAAGATAAAAAATAATAAAAAGAGAAGCCAAAAAGAAAAAAGGAAAACGTTTCAGTTCTTTCACAAAAGCACAGCTGAGCCCACCCAAAGGAGCAGCTGTTTGAGCATCCTCTTAAAGAACAAACTACTAGGGATAAACCAACAAATCTAGTCACAGGGTTAAACACTTGGGGTTGTTGTTGTTGCTGTCCAACACAAATGACAGAAACAACAACAATTGTGACCAGAAGCACTGGGGCTTTGGGTCTGCTAAGACAATTAAAGCAAGTCTCATTGCAGTGGGCGAGGACACATGTAGTGGAGTAGTCAAAAAGAAAAAATCAAAAAGAAGAAACAATGCCAAAAAAAGGACTGGGGTTGTTATTGTTGCTTTCCAGCACAAATGCTGGAAACAACAACAACGTGACTGGAAAACTCTTCCAGTCCRTAAATACTAAAAACTGGAAAGGCATGGAGATAAGGCTGGGGAATCGGCTTTAAACTGAGTACAGTGTAGCATATACTCCAAGCGTTGTTCTTCAAAGGATAGGTCTTGGTTAAATACTGTGGGCTTGGGTTGGTGTTGTTGCTTTCCGGCACAGATGCTGGAAACAACAACAATTGTGACCAGAAAACATTGCTGCTTCCAATCCTTGAGAACTGTTGCTGTTGCTGTTGCTGTTGCTGTTGTTGCTGTTGCTGTTGCTTTCCAGCACAAATGCTGGAAATAATAACAACAACAACAACAACAAGAATGTGACAGGAAAATGCTTCTGGTCTGTAAATAAAACTGGAGCTGCATGGAGATATGGCTTGGGAATCTTCTTGTCAGTAAACTGAGTATGGTGTAGCATAAACTCCAGGTGTTGTTCCTCAAAGGATAGGTCTTGGTTAGATACTGGGGGCTAGGGTTGTTGTTAGCGCTTTCCGGCATTCATGCCAGAAATAACAAGAACAACAACAACAACGTGACCGGAAAACTCTTCTGGTCCGTAAATAAAACTGGAGCTGCACAGAGATAAGGCTGGGGAATCTTCTTTAAACTGAGTAGGTGTAGCATATACTTCAGGCATTGCTTTTCAAAGGCAAAGACTGGGGGCTGCGGTTGTTGTTGTTGCTTTCCGATACAAATGCTGGAAATAACAACAACAACAATGTGACTGGACAAGAACTCTTCTGATCCGTAAATATAACTGGAACTGCATGGAGATAAGGCTGGGGAATCTTCTTTAAACTGAGTAGGTGTAGCATACACTCCAGGCGTTGTTCTCAAAAGGTGAAGACTGGGGGCTGGGGTTGTTGTTGTTGYTTTCTGGCGTGAATGCTGGAAACAACAACCGCRAATGCCGGAAACAACAACAACGTGACCAGACAACTCTTCCAGTCCATAAAATACTGGAACTGCACGGGGATAAGGCTGGAGAATCTTTGAGTATAGTGTGGCGTATACTCCAGGCTTTCTTCTTCAAGGATTGGTCTTGATTGAATACTGGGGGCTGGAGTTGTTGTTGTTGTTGTTGTTGTTGTTGTTGTTGTTGTTGTTGTTGTTGTTGTTGTTGTTGTTGTTGTTGTTGTTGTTGCTTTCTGGCTTGAATGCCAGAAACAACAACAACAACTTAAATACCAGAAGATATAGTACAGTACAAGTACTTCCGGAGGAACAGGGGATAGAGTCAGCCAAGGCTGGGGGCAGGATGGATGATATCAGTAAGGATAGTCTTGATTATCAATGTAATAGCTTGGTTAGATTGCTTGGATGGAGCTAGGGAGGTGGGTTTCCCCCTTTGGAAGGGGATGTCACCATGGTGGGTTTGGAATTTTGATGCCAGAAGGTGCTGGTCAGGTATGTATGTAGGTAGGAATCAGTAGGAAATCTGGGTGATAATTTTCAGAACCAAAGTGTAATTTCATGTGTTTGAAAAAAATTGTTTTGAAAATTATGTCCTTGGCAGATGGTACTTGCCAGTTGTTGCAAACTGTTGTTGGAGAATGAATCTATTTTCCCACATAATCACATCTGCCTGAAGGTCAAAGATCTTCCTTACAAAATACAAGGACCACTTCTGGGAGGTACCACTGTGGGGCCATCCAACTATTAAACAGTCGAGCTCTTCTGATATTGCATACAATTTGAGGAATAGGAGCCCMCACAACAGGTGTTTTGGTTTAGCACCTGGCTTGTCATTGCCAAATGAGGCCTCAATACAATTCCATAGATCAGCAATTACTGTGCTTGGAACACCAAAAAGGCTAGCTATGCGGTGAACCATACTCTGATTGTTCCACTCAATACTACAATCAGCAAGACATTGAACAATTTCACATATGATATCTTCAATCATCACTGCATCCATTGCTACTAGTGGTGAGTATTTTTGATTGTGCTGGTGCTACTGGCTGCTATTATTGCAAATTATGTGCTCCTTGCATGTTTTTCTGCTCTTGCTGCTGCTGTTCTATGTAGCTGTTTGCAGTACTATTCAAATACTACTGCTGTATGAATGTTTTAATAAGAATTTTTTTAATGTTTTATTTCTGGCTTAGTAAAATTTTATTAATAATTTATTAGTACAATAATAAAATTTTATAAACAGAATAATTAAATTTATTACTTCCTTTGTTAATAAAAGTGACTTCATTAATAAAGATCCAATTTTTGATATTGTTGTCAAAAGACAGTGTGTTTGTTGGGGCTTGGGGAGTACATCTGGTTCATATATTACCTTGCTTCTTGTTTCAATCAACAGCAACAGTTACCAGTAGCGGGAGTAGCAGTGAAGTATCATGCTGCATACCTAGAAGAATTTTTTTCAGTCACAGATGATAGGAGCAGAAAATATTCTATTTGTATACAATGACTCTATTTGCAATCCAGAGCTCTTGCCACTTTACTTTGAGTTGGGCGGTTGTTCAATGCATTGCAAATGAACTTCCCAGCTTCCAATAATTTATTCAAATCAATACCAGTGGAGAGACCCATACCATGCCTTCATGAAATACACAATGATGCAATAAGAATTAAATGAGGAACAGAACACAAACAACATTTTTTCAGAAAGGCAAATGCRAACACAATAAAATTACTTACAACATGTACAGTAGATCTTCTGTAGCAACGTTTCCAGAAGCTCCCTTGGCATACGGACAACCCCTAGTAGAAAAAGAAGTAAAAGGAGGTTTTGAAAAGTTAGTTTTGCAGGAGACTAATCCACTATGAGTTCAAATGACCAACAAAAAATGGTGCTCACCCCAACCCTGCAACCGAAGAGTCTATTGTATAAATCTCCTTTTCCAAACCAACCAAAATATTGGCTAACGCTTGTCCATATGTGTCATGACAGTGCATGGCCAGCTGGAATGGCTGTGCAACATTCTATTTATTGCGTCATTGTCGTTGTCATCGTAGAAKTTGCATAAAAAGGCAAAGGTTAGTGTAAAAACATTTGAGTTTTGGTAAAAAAGATCTGTATGCAAATTTAGATCAAGCAAATTCCACGAAAAATATAATTTTTCCTTCCACCATTCAGAATTTCGTTTTACGCAGTGCTCACCAGAACTTCATCTAACATTCGTCTGGTTGACAAAGGTGTCCCCACTCCTGTAGTGTCCCCTAAAGAAACTTCGTGGCAGCCTAAATCCAACATCCGTTCAACAACATGAGCAACTTGCTTGGGTTCAATCATCCCTTGGTAAGGGCATGCAATAACTGTCGATACGTAGCCTCTGACTACAGGGGGCTTATTGCTCCCGTTATCGAAGTCTTGTTGTATATGATCTATGACAACCTGAAAGCGTTCAATCGACTCGTCAATTGTCGCATTAATGTTTCGTTTGGTAAATTCGTCGCTCGTCGCACTGAAAATAGCAATCTCGTCTATTACTCCTCGCCCTGACACCAATGCATGCTGTAAGCCTTCGAGATTCGGGACTAAGACAGAATAGGTTGGTCTCCTACTGACCTTGGTGTCCAACAGTTCCTTTTCGTGTTCTTTTTCTCGAAGAGCCTTCAATATATCTGACGAGCCGCTCATTTGGGGAACCAGTCTGGGTGATACGAGTGCTCCCACCTCGATATTCGAACAGCCTGCGTTATCCAATTTACTAATGAATTCGATTTTGTCTTTTACTGATACAATTGGTGGGGGCTCGTTTTGTAGACCATCTCGGGGACTCACCTCGACAATTTTAATCGCAGGTTGCTGCAAAATATCATTGTCTATCCTCTCATGTTTGGATGCCGTCGTAGATAAGAGCCTTGAACTCCGCGTGCTTGCAGACGTAGCCAATAGCATGTTCCGAGTATGATCATTCGGCGATGACACTGCCGAAGAAAAAGATAGTTTACACTCGCAATCAAAATTCTGAGCACGCGTAGACGTCATCATTGCTGCTGCTACCATTCTTCGGTGCCGAAACCTGTTGGCAAGAATCACACGCATGGTCGGCTTGATTGTAATATTCTGTTGTTCTTTGGAACACTGATCTTATTCCCAAAGAACTGTACTCGAAGCATTTCGAATGTTGTTTTTGCAACGTCGACGTTACCAAGCAGAAATGTGATTGGTGTTGAAGCTCTTCGGTTACAACGACTATCTGGGTTCCAAACCGTTCTAATTGTGCGATTCTCGTACCAACCCTTCAGCAGAGAACAGAACAAATTCTCAAATCGGTAAGTACTTATTACAGTACGTACCGTACGTGGTAGAAGGTACGTACTTACCGTACTGTAATAGCGGCGAAGAAGGAGATCTTTGAGAACCCAGTCGTTCCCAATTGTTAGTGGCACGAATCAAAAGTGCCAAGAAAAACAACGATCTATCGTGACCAGTACGTAAAGTACGGTACCTTGTACGTCCCGCACTGAACTACGCAGGCTCATTAAACGTTGCTGCTTGGAGCGAAGAGTAAGTGGGGATGCCATCAAGTACATTTTTGGTCAAAATTTTCAATTTGAGGCCAAGGACAGACCCAAGAACAATTAGGTCTTTTGCGGTTCGCTGTAAGTGGAAGTCGAAATGTAATCTTATGACTAAAATAAGGGGCATCTCCTCATTCCCTCAACTTTCTATTTTCTCTAAGAATCAGCCATTCATTTTGTACTACTACCCTCTACATTAAAAATAACTTCTTATTACCAGATTTGTAGTGTTTTCACCCCCTCAGACTCCCTTTTCCATTGGAAATTCCAGTCAACAAAAAACTATTCTAGTATTTTTTTTTCGACTCCAATGATTTTTACTAATATTTTTAGGCAAACAGCCTAAGAATGAAATTGGGATGAAATTGTGAAGCAAACAAAGATTTGACATGAACATAAGAGCTACTACTACTACTACTACTACTACTACTACTACTACTACTACTACTACTACTACTACTACTACTACTACTACTACTACTACTACTACTACTACAACTAGCATTCTTGTTCATCAACACACCAGTGTACATAAGAACAGTGTTAGTGCGTTGGTACTAACTGCTGTCATTGATTGCTATCACGAATAGAATTGAACAGGAACAAACATGGATCATAAACATATTATACGTTAAAACAGTAACGTCACTTTTTCTTCTTGGTGGTTGTCTTTGAAGGGTCATCTTTATTCAGCGAGAGGATATCCAACAGCRTATTGAATTTGAATGTGCCATTCTTGTCACTTGGGTGAACCAAATCGTATGGACACCATGATGGTTGGGTACTTTTGTTTCCAAAAAGAACACTSTAAGCTGGACTTGTTTCATTGTTTGTGACAACGCATTGTCCGTACTGAGTAACTATACCAAACTCGTTAACAGCTTCTCTGTTGCCATTTTCATCAAACCCATCATAGGCAACAAAAACTTCGTCGCCGACGCCAAACCTAGGAAAAATAATGTCAGGATCTTCCTCATCGAGAAATACTTCAAGTAGACTCTCGTGTTGAGCCTGAGATCTAGTTGGCTTTGGCAAAACCAACTTCAGCCCAACGCCCTTATGGATCCAAACAGAGGTTTTTRTAAAACACGCTTCATTGTTTACCGCTTTCTTCATACCTTTGGGTTTCTGAGGAGTTTTTCAATCAGGGCCGACCCTTTTGGAAGCCTTGGGAGAAGCAGGGGTGGCAACAGCCACCGCAACAACAGGTTCCAAATAGACGACAGCATTGATACTGGCCGGGTCCACGAGGTGAGACTTTGGGTTGGATTTATTCTGCAAAAGGGCCCGTTTCTTGTCCGCAAAAACAGCCCATGGAGGTTTGAAGGAGAAACTAGGGCAATCTGGAGGTGCCTTTTCGAATACAACCCAGCCCCATTCRCTATCTAGCTCAGTGTTGTCATTGAAGTAATTCACAAAACCCGACTCTCTCTTTGCCTTTTCAGCTACAGCCTTGAACATTTTCCAACTAGATATATCTCTCATAGAATATTTCATGAACTTCGGGCTGCGGATGTGTTGCAGCAAAATAGGAGCTTCAACCAAGTGATCAGGGTGGTTGGGGGCAGATACATCTGTCAGTTCTGCATCACCTAGTAAGAGACGGGCATTGAGTTTGGCATGGTTCAATCTTTCGGGATCGTCAACAAGACACGCCATCAAGTCACGTGTGATGGGAAGATACAGATTACCGCCCAAGATGCCAGTTTGATTCAGAGACATGATTGTGTTCCAAAATAATTTAGGGGATTTTGCAATTTCACCAAGACAGATGATTGAGTCAGATGTGCGGGTAGTATCATAATGCTTAAACAAATAAGTGGGTAGGCTCAACTTTGAGGTCTTATCAAACAAGATGGAAGTATCAGAAAAAGCATTAAGTTCTGCGGTGCATGGTTGTGTATTCCAGGTGTACTCATTGTTGGAATAACCACAGCTGACAATCAAYCTGCRCTTTGCTTTGTTGAGTTTGGACTTTTCCAAACTTCAGTGAGTTCAGAAGGTGGTGGTGATTTGGTCAAAAATGCCTTTGTAACTTAGCCGTTGGTTACCAAATATTTTAGTGTTGAACTTGGCCTTTTTGTTGTCGTCATACAAACCATTTGCACTGTAGATGTAATCGTGGTCAACAGTCACCAACATTTGGATGTTCCCAGGCAGGGGGTGATGGCCTCCTTGGTGGTGAGCGCACTGATCGAGGTTCCACTGAGACAGCAAATGAGAGACATCCTCTAAACTGTTGGGCACAGATACAGTGAATTTGCTGCATTGTTCTGAGGTAGTGGAAGGACGAACCTTGGGGTTGATTCCATGCAAAATTTTGATGTCGTAGTTTTTGGTGACACGAGATTGATACCTGCAAAGCATGGATAAGACAGGTTCCTTATAAGGGAATACAACCATTCCATGTACTACATTAGCAACGTCCACTCAACAAACACTGTCCACTCCATTTCCAAGACTCCTCTCCTTGGGAACAACAAAGCTGCACTCAACTAACTTGGGGAGAAAGTACGTGTAGAATTTCTCGTGAGAGAACACAGATTCATGACAGTGCTCGAGAGAAAGTGACGTGAATGCCTTGATGCCATTTGGCAAATTTAAGTTTCACCACAAGGACCTTAGCCAACCACCCAATGGAGTCAGATRATTCTTTTTAGAGTTCAAGAATGGACCATCAAGTTGTTCGCATGGAATGAGATTGACAGAATCTGTGGGATCGGATAACAGACTGACATCACGTTTGAGAAGCATATCCCACCTCTTTTGATACAGGATATTYGGAAACTGTTTGGAGTCCACCAAGTGCMGRAGGGCCATATCACCCAAGAGATTGGCAAAGAACATCTCCATTTCTTCAACATAAGCGTTGCATTTGTGTAAGTATGTTCTGTCAGTTGGGTCATAAGAAAAGGCACCATTTAAATCCTTGGATAGAGGAAGTTTGACATGACGAAAGTACCATTCGAAAAAGCTGTGGACAGCATTCATGTACTACTACTTGGACATTGTTTCCGGAGATACAAGACTACCAGTGTCTCCGGATTTGTCCAACCTGTCCACAGCCATTGTCTCAATAGAAACTTGTTCTTTGTCCAATTTATCCTGAAACTCGTCCCATCTTTTGGGAAAATTGTACCTTTTCAGACGTTTGGTAAACAAGGCCTTTGGGATGACAATAAACTGAGGATTTCCCTCTGATGATATGGAGTCAGGATCATTCATTAGAAAAATGTTCAACAATGGATGGATGGTTAGGGGCATGTCACCGGCACTTCGTTTGCCAGCTGCTGATACTTTGGAAGAAGRACACGTCATCACGATTCATTATACCATAATGACACGGCTTTTTAGACACATGAGAAACGTTGGGGCAAAAGACAAATTGGCAAGAAAAAGGAGACGGTCATATCTGGGAACGTTGTTCTCAGTTGGTCTATTGTGCGTTTTTGAGTTGGGTTCYGACAAACAATTCGAATATCATAAAAGGGTTTCAAATTGAATGAACAAACAAAAACCATGAAACGGACAAAACTGAGAATTCCATTCTCATTAGATCCATGGAGCAAATTTGAGTTGGTTTACAACAAAGGATTCAAATATAAGATTGGAAATTTGAAAACAGATGATGTGAAATCAATACATGAAAATGTACGGGAATTATAATGGATTCTAAAGTGACACAAAAATTCTTTACCAGTGAAAGGAACCATTGATTATTGATCCGACGGGCGGTTGGATTAAATCACAATTAAATAGTGAATGAACTCAGTCTGATATGTATTTAATTTGAAGAGAGTAGAATTACATGCGTACTAAATTTGGTGTTTCGTTAAAACAATACTAGAATCTACAGGAAAGAGGACGACGCGCCAAAAAAAGTTATTGACGGGCAGAAAAAGTTGGCCCGATAGCAAGGAAAAGTAGTGGCGGGTAAAAGTTTGCGCCCAATTCACAGTGACATCACTGTTACCAACACCAAAAAAATTGAAATTCCTGGCACAGAATTGATTTCACATTAATTTTGTGAGACTTCAAGTATTACTACTACTAGGGCGGGTTATATACACTATCATTTTTGAGTGAGTAACTTAGGTAAGCTGAGGACGTAACACATGACCTGCAAGTGGATGTGATATTTTTATGATAGCAACTAACAAAGAAAAACAATTATTACAATAAAAACACTATCACGATGCAGGTATTACAGAAAATCGATTGTAATTCGATCTGCAGCAAACAATCAAAGATGTCTTCAACACAATTAGTCCGCAATAATGAAGAACAGGAGGAGAGAATTGTGGTCGCTAGTGACATAAGACTGGGGCATGTAGAGACTGTTTTAAAACAAGCGCTGACAAATTATGTGAGGAACATTTTGTTCAAGCACACGAAGTTTCCGGTAAATGATTTTGTCGTGGAAAACATAGTGAAAAAACAGGTAAAGGAAAGTACTGGTGGGGAAAATCCACCAGAGGGCCTAGTAATGTCTGCCGGTCGTTGGGCGGGAACGATCAACGGGGCAGTAACTGCGTGCAGACATAACGCTCAGACACTGGCTTGAAAAAACTACAAGGGTAAGAAGAGAGGTGCTGCATGCAAAACACTGATAAGACAAGATCAATC